TCAGGTCCATGGTATCCCAGAGTTCCTCTCCAGCGACTCACGGTGTTTTCTCCATCAGGTAAGATCTGAGAACAACCAAAGTCTTCGAGGATGGCGTTGCCGGAGGCGTCTAGGAAGATGTTGTCTGGCTTCACGTCCTCGTGTACACAGCGCTGGTCGTGGAGATATCTCAGGGCACAGGCGGTTTGCACGAAAACCCGTTCCACTTGGTCCCATTGGAGCGACTGACGCAATCCATCCAAAGATCCCTGAGAACACAGAGGCATATAGATAGCCAGGAAGCTGTCACACGTGACCACCCAGTCCATCTTCATGAGGTGCGGGTGCTGAACGTTGTGCATGATGGTCAACTCCTCGGTGCTGTCCTCGAGACCTCGATGTCGTCCTTTACTGTCCAGGTAAGGGATCTTCTTGATTGCCTTACGAATGGAGTCGTCGTTCTTCATGGAAGCTTCCAAAACTAGCGAATTCTTCTTCTTGGCAAGGACACGCACAAACTTCAAGTTGAAATTGTTCAGAAAGTCTCCATCACGAATGACGGTGACATCGGGAAACGTGAGAGTAGCCATGCTAGATATCTGCCGAGTTGTCGAGAAATTCTGTAGAGGAAAATACAAGACGTATCCAACCTGTCACTGCGAGAGCGATATGCTGAACTGAAGGAATGTCCAGACCCCTTCACTTTTATAGTGGAGTCAAGCGTCCCCCTAAAGAGGGGTATTTGTCTTCAAAATCACCGACACCGATTGTCGGTCCTTGCTTTGACATAGCTTCCATTGTTCACATCACAGACGCCGGCTGCATTGACCATCGGACATCAAAGGGCGGTCACCCAACAATGACCATCAGACATCAAAGGGCGGTCACCCAACAATGACCATCAGACATCAAAGGGCGGTCACCCAACAAGGACCATCAGAATTCAAAGGGCGGTAACTCTACAATGACCTTCAGACATGAAAGGGCGGTCACCCAACATGGAACATCAAACATCAAAGAGGGTCACCCAAAACCGACCCGTAGACATCAAAGGGTAGTTACTCAAGAATGACCATCAGACATCAAAGGGCGGTGATCCAACAATGACCGTCTGACATCAAAGGGCGGCTTCCCCAAAGAAGGCCGACACACACTGACCAGCCACTCTCACAAGCTCACAGATGATGTACAAAGTGCAACAGAGTTAAAGATAACTCTTGTCACGTTTTCCTGCAAACGATATGTCGAAAAAAAAGAAGAATTATTTTGACAAATTTGAAAAAGTATGAACAAGCAACCTTTTTTCCCTCAAAGTAAAATGCTCTCAGTCAAGTCTTTCCTTCTTTGATTTGTTTTCTATTTGTTTTGTTTTTCTTTGTTTTCAATCGGTTCTCATAGAAAAGGCCGAAATTCTTGTAAGTTGTCTCACTAACATGGCAATCTCCAATGTCCAGATCGGATTCGGGAACAACTTTACTTTACTTTACTCATAAAAATAGTTATATGTAAACACGATAAGTAAATTTTAATAAGTTAGACAGCTCTTTGACGGGTGAATTAGTTGAGAATAGTATGAACCTCCATATTTAATTTTTTACTAGTGTATATTCAGTGGGGGGGGGGGGGGGGTTGTTTTGCTGTTTTTGTTTTGTTTGTTTTTGGTTTGTTTTTGTCATTTTTTCTGTTTTCTTTCATTTTAAAACAAAATATTTATTTGGGGGTGGGAGAAGGGGGATGTTGTCATAAACATCAATAATGATTGTCGGCTCTTGCTTTGACACGGCATCAATTGTCTACATCACAGACTCCGCCGCTATGACCAGTAGGCATCAAAGGGAGGTTATCCAACATTGACCCCCCCCCCCCCAGACAACAAAGGCAGTCACCTAGTAGAGACCACCAGTCATCAAAGGACAGTCACCCGGTAGAGATCAGCAGATATTAAAAGGCAGTCACTCAACAATGACCATCAGAAACTAAGGGCGGTTATCCGTCTGTGACCACCTGTCAGTAAACGGTGGTCACCCAACTGTGACCAGTAGACATCAAAGTGGAGTCACACAATAACAACTACCAGACACCAAAGGGCGGTCACCCAGCCTCGACTAGCACATGTCAAAGAGCGGCTTCCCCAAAGAAGACCGACACACAGTGACCAGCCTTTCTCACCTGCTTCTTCGCCGGAATGGATGCTGAAGCAAGTACGTGAACCAAAGTAGTATAGTATTTAGTAGTAAACGAGGCCTCATGACAATGATTTAAATAAATGTACCCTTAATAGAAACAGACATACTGATGTTTGTAAAATGACGTTAGTAAACTTGAATGAAGGCTAAATATTGGATAACGTAATAAATACTATCAAAAGATAACGTGTTAAATTTTATTATGTAAATAAAACAGAAAATTAATGTTTGTGACCGTTGGCACGTTTTGACACGGCTTTAATTGCCTACACCAGAGACATCACCACAGTGACCACTAGACATCAAAGGACGGTCACTCAACATTGGCAAATGACCAGTAGACATCAAAGGGCGGTCACCTAACAATGACGAGCAGAGATCAAAGGGCGGTTTCCCAAAAGAATGCGGACACACACTGACCAGCCACTCTCACAAGCTCACAGTTAAAGAAAGCTCATGTCAATTTTATTTTCCTTCTAACAATATTTATACCACAAATAAATTATTTTGACAAATTTGAAAAAGCTTAATGGAGCAACATGTGAGCGGGGCCCACTGTACTTTCTTTGTCCCAAAGGCTTGTACCTGCTTTCATTTTGTGTGTTCTTTTAATCGGTGCTTTTAGAAAACAATAATGTTTAGATGATATTATTGGGCTGACAATATTATGTCGTGGTTTTATTACTTGTTTCCACCGTATTATCTAAGAGTGTTTTTTTTTTGTCTTCAATAACATCAACAAAGATTCACCCCCCCCCCCCCCACATTGCTTTTACGTGGCTTCCATTGTCTACATCAAAGACGACGCTGCAATGGCCAGAAGTCATCAAAGGGCGGTCACCCAATAGTGACCAGTAGACATCAAAGGCTTGTTCTCCAAAAGAAGACCGACACACAGTGACCAGCCTTTCTCACTTGCTTCTTCGCGGGAATAGATGCTGAAGGAAGATCGGGAACAGAATTGTACTATTTTTTTGTTGTAAATAAAGCCTTGTGACAACGTGGTTAGTTAGAGAAACCTAACCACCACATAGCCCCCCCCCCACCAAACTCCCAATACTTCATAATAGGAATTTAAAAAATTAAAGTAAAAATATATTTATTAATGCTTCACTTTTCAAAACACATTTCATATACATTGTACTGCCCCGTCTTTTTATGAAAGAAAAAATGTGTAATTATGCAAACTGAACCCAAAAATGTGAAATTATGCGATTCTGTTAATTTATACAAAGAGCAAAAAAGGGGAAAAAATTAGAAATTACGCAAAAAAATGATCAAATTTGGCTAAATTATGCGAAGTGCATAAAACCACGGGGACAGATTGTAAAAGTAACTACATCCTGTACTTCGTTGGCAGAAATAACCCATGTGCCTTTAATGACATTTTTTGACACAGTAAGTTAAATCACGAGTGGCTACAAACGTGGAATAGGACGGCCCTCATATCTTAAGCCACGCCTTTTATTCACCCATTGTAAGATCCCAAGACGAGCGACTGAACTGAGAGTGTTATGATTGGCCATTGTTTGGGTTCTCTGGCCTTCGACAAAGAAATGTTAACTGTGTTCATCTTTCTTTGATAATCCTTGTTTTCTTCTCACTCTCAGATCAATGGGGAGACTGACCACGTTGGGTTTGTTTTGTTTTAAAAAAAATAATTCAAATATTAAAAACAGGTGAGGGATGGGAGGGGTTGGAGTAATGAAGAACAGAGAACGGATTGGAAGGGGGGAGAGGGTGGAGGGGTGCGGGGTGGGGAAATGAGAGGTGTCGAGGGGAGACAGGCGACTGAACTGAGAGTGTTGGGATTGGTCATTGTTCGGTTTTCCTGACGGACTACTGGGGAATTTCTTCCTTGTTTTCTTCTCTTTCTCAGGTCACGGGGTATGGGGAGACTGATCACGTTTGTTTATGTTTGTGTGTTCGTTTTTGTTGCTCTTGGTTGTTGGTTCTTTTGGTGGGTTTTTTAAAGGTTTTTTAAAAAGTCTCAGTAAACAAAACGTATTCGAAGAGAATGGAATGTAGAAGCATATAAAAGAAGTGTGGGTGGAGGGGAATGGGTGGAAAGGTGCCCTTTGGGGAATGTAGGGGTTTGATGAAATGGGAGGGGAGGGGAGGAGGGCAAAGGGAAGAGTTCGCAGAGGTGAGGGCTTCTGATCTTGTAGTGAGTAACGCCTTTTACAAGACATTTTATCTGTGGAGTTACTGAAAATGACTCTGTTTTTCCCCGGCGCGATTTCAGTTGTGTCCAAAATGGTCTGGATTCTGGATATACAGCAAACAAACAAACAAACACACATACAGACACACATACATACTGGCTGTGTCGGCAGAGAATACTAGATTTACTCTAAGAACATTCTGGTAATGCTCAGCGATATGACACACGAATAAGGTTGCTACATTTTGAATCAAACAAAGAAATCGAAAGACCTGTTGTAAACCCTCCAGCCCAAGCTGAAACAGCTCAATGTTGTTTATCGTAGTCTCTTTACTTTTGTTTAGAAGGCATGTCTTCTTTATTTTTAAAATTATTTATTGTTGTTATAAAAGTAACAATGAGCTGAAAAGATCAAGAAAATGAGGGCAAATTTGTAAAACTGGAAATTGAAAAAGGAGAGTAGTATGTCAAAAAAGAGTTGAAGCACTTGTATGCTCAGTATTTAGGGTTATATTTCGCAGAGGGCAAAGGGGGAACAATGTTTATTTTCATAGGCGCATTTTTAATTTGTCCACATTGCTACAGTTCTCTTCATCACAGAACTCGTCTTTTCCCTCTCAGTTTTCACGGGCTTGGGACCGTCACAGAGTACACAGTACACTGAGGCCTGATTAAAAAGACGGCGCTACCGAGCGCTCACGTCTGGGGGAGTTAGTGTTAGTTAATTAGTTGTTAGGGTTGGTTAGTTAGTGGTTAGTGTTGGTAAGTTAGTAATTAAAATGGTTGTTAAAATGGTTAGTGGTGGGTAGTTAGAGGTTGATTTTGGTTTATCAGCGGTTAATATGTGTTCTTTAATTGTTGGCATTGATAAGTTAGTAGTGGGCGCAGGTTTGTCAGTGGTTGATGGAGACAGCTAATGTTTTACAACTTGAGTTTGTTAAATGAGGTGTAATGATGGTTAGCTAGTGTTTTAGAATTGGCCAGCTGGTATTTCATAGTTAGCGTTATTCAGTTATGGTTTTATAGTTATTGCTGATTAGTTAATATTGTTAAGTTAAAGTTAGTATTCATTACTTAAGCTCTTTTCTGAATAACTTTTTAGTCTGTTTTTCCTTAAATTTAAATCTAGTAATATTTAATTTACAACTTGAGTTTGTTAGATAAGGTGTAATGATGCTTAGCTAGTGTTTTAGCATTGGCTAGCTGCTCTTTCTTAGCGTTATCCAGTTAGTGTTGTATAATTATTCTTGATCAGTTAATATGTTACAGTTAGTTTTGATTACTCAGTGTTCTTTTCCTAATCAGTTTTTGAAGTGTATTTAATTTAGTGTTTTTTAGTTTGTGGAGTACATTTACTTAATATTGGTTACTTTATACCTAGTGTCAATTAAAAAGGGTTTTTTTAAAATTCGTTAGTGTTCGGGTTAATCTTTTTTAAAAATATGTTATTGCTTTTAATGGTACCAAAACTGTAATTAAAATTAAGTCAGCGAGATTTAAAAGAGCTCGGTGTTGGGTTGTGCTATTACTGTTAGTAGGAAAGAAAAATTAGTATCAAATTAGTTAATAGAAAGAAAAAAGGTTGCGACTACCAAAGGTCCGTGTTTCTCACAAACCCTCCATAATTCCCCTGAGCTTCTCACGAGTAGACAAGAACTCCAAGAGGCCGGGAACAGACAGTCGCTTCTGAGGATCTCCGCGCAAAAGTCCTTTCAGAACTTCTCTGTGGAGGAAAACAAACACAGATTGAGGTTAGAAAAGTTTTAGCAAATTAAATATTAGTAAAAAGAAATGATAACATGCGTTTAAAATGCTTCAAAGATGACACATAACATGATATATAACTGGATACCAAGCGATGCAAGATGGTATTAGTAATGTATAATAATTGAAACATAAAAGTCTTCAGTTATATGACAAAAATGCTGTCAAAGATATAAAAATGTTTTAGTTTATTTAAGCCCCGTATCCACACAGAACTTCATCAACGTTTCAATACAATTTATACTTTCACATCAAAGCATACAACGAAAACGTCTATGGTGGAAACCATTCTACTGCGTTCTAATATATAATACAATTCAGTAAACCATGACAGTATTATAGCTGTCTTACCTGAACATTTCGGGCAGAGAAAAATTCCTCACAACTATAGCTGTCTTACCTGAAACCAGAGACCACAGCGAGAGACCACAGCGTGGCTCCCAGTGCGTATGCGTCCATCTGAAAAAAAAGAAAACAAATGACCGGAACATTAGACATCGGAATCACGTTACATTAATATCAAACATCATAAAAATTGAAGCAATTGATAACGATATCATGCTACAAATAATATAGATAGATTGTGTAATAAAAGTGATGACACCCTAATACCGATGAATTAGACAAAAGGGTGAAAGCGTAGACATAAAAGTAATAATATTTCTTTGGCAGAATAAACACAAACAGCAGATACCTTTCTGTGTGCTAAAAACGCACGTCTAACCTGTGTAATGACCACAACAAATCAAGGCTGAAACGTAAAAAATAAAGAAGAAAAACTTACCAGAAAAGGGTCGAATTTGTAACCAAGGAAAAACTCAGGTCCATGGTATCCCAGAGTTCCTCTCCAGCGACTCACGGTGTTTTCTCCATCAGGTAAGATCTGAGAACAACCAAAGTCTCCGAGGATGGCGTTGCCGGAGGCGTCTAGGAAGATGTTGCCTGGCTTCACGTCCCCGTGTACACAGCGCTGGTCGTGGAGATATCTCAGGGCACAGGCGGTTTGTACGAAAACCCGTTCCACTTGGTCCCATTGGAGCGACTGACGCAATCCATCCAAAGATCCCTGAGAACACAGGGGCATATAGATAGCCAGGAAGCTGTCACACGTGACCACCCAGTCCATCTTCATGAGGTGCGGGTGCTGAACGTTGTGCATGATGGTCAACTCCTCGGTGCTGTCCTCGAGACCTCGATGTCGTCCTTTACTGTCCAGGTAAGGGATCTTCTTGATTGCCTTACGAATGGAGTCGTCGTTCTTCATGGAAGCTTCCAAAACTAGCGAATTCTTCTTCTTGGCAAGGACACGCACAAACTTCAAGTTGAAATTGTTCAGAAAGTCTCCATCACGAATGACGGTGACATCGGGAAACGTGAGAGTAGCCATGCTAGATATCTGCCGAGTTGTCGAGAAATTCTGTAGAGGAAAATACAAGACGTATCCAACCTGTCACTGCGAGAGCGATATGCTGAACTGAAGGAATGTCCAGACCCCTTCACTTTTATAGTGGAGTCAAGCGTCCCCCTAAAGAGGGGTATTTGTCTTCAAAATCACCGACACCGATTGTCGGTCCTTGCTTTGACATAGCTTCCATTGTTCACATCACAGACGCCGGCTGCATTGACCATCGGACATCAAAGGGCGGTCACCCAACAATGACCATCAGACATCAAAGGGCGGTCACCCAACAATGACCATCAGACATCAAAGGGCGGTCACCCAACAAGGACCATCAGAATTCAAAGGGCGGTAACTCTACAATGACCTTCAGACATGAAAGGGCAGTCACCCAACATGGAACATCAAACATCAAAGAGGGTCACCCAAAACCGACCCGTAGACATCAAAGGGTAGTTACTCAAGAATGACCATCAGACATCAAAGGGCGGTGATCCAACAATGACCGTCTGACATCAAAGGGCGGCTTCCCCAAAGAAGGCCGACACACACTGACCAGCCACTCTCACAAGCTCACAGATGATGTACAAAGTGCAACAGAGTTAAAGATAACTCTTGTCACGTTTTCCTGCAAACGATATGTCGAAAAAAAAGAAGAATTATTTTGACAAATTTGAAAAAGTATGAACAAGCAACCTTTTTTCCCTCAAAGTAAAATGCTCTCAGTCAAGTCTTTCCTTCTTTGATTTGTTTTCTATTTGTTTTGTTTTTCTTTGTTTTCAATCGGTTCTCATAGAAAAGGCCGAAATTCTTGTAAGTTGTCTCACTAACATGGCAATCTCCAATGTCCAGATCGGATTCGGGAACAACTTTACTTTACTTTACTCATAAAAATAGTTATATGTAAACACGATAAGTAAATTTTAATAAGTTAGACAGCTCTTTGACGGGTGAATTAGTTGAGAATAGTATGAACCTCCATATTTAATTTTTTACTAGTGTATATTCAGTGGGGGGGGGGGGGGGGGGTTGTTTTGCTGTTTTTGTTTTGTTTGTTTTTGGTTTGTTTTTGTCATTTTTTCTGTTTTCTTTCATTTTAAAACAAAATATTTATTTGGGGGTGGGAGAAGGGGGATGTTGTCATAAACATCAATAATGATTGTCGGCTCTTGCTTTGACACGGCATCCATTGTCTACATCACAGACTCCGCCGCTATGACCAGTAGGCATCAAAGGGAGGTTATCCAACATTGACCCCCCCCCCCCAGACAACAAAGGCAGTCACCTAGTAGAGACCACCAGTCATCAAAGGACAGTCACCCGGTAGAGATCAGCAGATATTAAAAGGCAGTCACTCAACAATGACCATCAGAAACTAAGGGCGGTTATCCGTCTGTGACCACCTGTCAGTAAACGGTGGTCACCCAACTGTGACCAGTAGACATCAAAGTGGAGTCACACAATAACAACTACCAGACACCAAAGGGCGGTCACCCAGCCTCGACTAGCACATGTCAAAGAGCGGCTTCCCCAAAGAAGACCGACACACAGTGACCAGCCTTTCTCACCTGCTTCTTCGCCGCAATGGATGCTGAAGCAAGTACGTGAACCAAAGTAGTATAGTATTTAGTAGTAAACGAGGCCTCATGACAATGATTTAAATAAATGTACCCTTAATAGAAACAGACATACTGATGTTTGTAAAATGACGTTAGTAAACTTGAATGAAGGCTAAATATTGGATAACGTAATAAATACTATCAAAAGATAACGTGTTAAATTTTATTATGTAAATAAAACAGAAAATTAATGTTTGTGACCGTTGGCACGTTTTGACACGGCTTTAATTGCCTACACCAGAGACATCACCACAGTGACCACTAGACATCAAAGGACGGTCACTCAACATTGGCAAATGACCAGTAGACATCAAAGGGCGGTCACCTAACAATGACGAGCAGAGATCAAAGGGCGGTTTCCCAAAAGAAGGCGGACACACACTGACCAGCCACTCTCACAAGCTCACAGTTAAAGAAAGCTCATGTCAATTTTATTTTCCTTCTAACAATATTTATACCACAAATACATTATTTTGACAAATTTGAAAAAGCTTAATGGAGCAACATGTGAGCGGGGCCCACTGTACTTTGTCCCAAAGGCTTGTACCTGCTTTCATTTTGTGTGTTCTTTTAATCGGTGCTTTTAGAAAACAATAATGTTTAGATGATATTATTGGGCTGACAATATTATGTCGTGGTTTTATTACTTGTTTCCACCGTATTATCTAAGAGTGTTTTTTTTTTGTCTTCAATAACATCAACAAAGATTCCCCCACCCCCCACATTGCTTTTACGTGGCTTCCATTGTCTACATCAAAGACGACGCTGCAATGGCCAGAAGTCATCAAAGGGCGGTCACCCAATAGTGACCAGTAGACATCAAAGGCTTGTTCTCCAAAAGAAGACCGACACACAGTGACCAGCCTTTCTCACTTGCTTCTTCGCGGGAATAGATGCTGAAGGAAGATCGGGAACAGAATTGTATAATATATAAAAATATATTTATTAATGCTTCACTTTTCAAAACACATTTCATATACATTGTACTGCCCCCGTCTTTTTATGAAAGAAAGAATTTGAAATTATGCAAACTGAACCCAAAAATGTGAAATTATGCGATTCTGTTAATTTTAACAAAGAGCAAAGGAGGAAAAAAATTAGAAATTAGGCAAAAAAATGATCAAATTTGGCTAAATTATGCGGGGTGCATAAAACCACGGGGACAGATTGTAAAAGTAACTACATCCTGTACTTCGTTGGCAGAAATAACCAATGTGCCTTTAATGACATTTTTTTGCCACAGTAAGTTAAATCACGAGTGGCTACAAACGTGGAATAGGACGGCCCTCATATCTTAAGCCACGCCTTTTATTCACCCATTGTAAGATCCCAAGACGAGCGACTGAACTGAGAGTGTTATGATTGGCCATTGTTTGGGTTCTCTGGCCTTCGACAAAGAAATGTTAACTGTGTTCATCTTTCTTTGATAATCCTTGTTTTCTTCTCACTCTCAGATCAATGGGGAGACTGACCACGTTGGGTTTGTTTTGTTTTTAAAAAAATAATTCAAATATTAAAAACAGGTGAGGGATGGGAGGGGTTGGAGTAATGAAGAACAGAGAACGGATTGGAAGGGGGGAGAGGGTGGAGGGGTGCGGGGTGGGGAAATGAGAGGTGTCGAGGGGAGACAGGCGACTGAACTGAGAGTGTTGGGATTGGTCATTGTTCGGTTTTCCTGACGGACTACTGGGGAATTTCTTCCTTGTTTTCTTCTCTTTCTCAGGTCACGGGGTATGGGGAGACTGATCACGTTTGTTTATGTTTGTGTGTTCGTTTTTGTTGCTCTTGGTTGTTGGTTCTTTTGATGGGTTTTTTAAAGGTTTTTTTAAAAGTCTCAGTAAACAAAACGTATTCGAAGAGAATGGAATGTAGAAGCATATAGAAGAAGTGTGGGTGGAGGGGAATGGGTGGAAAGGTGCCCTTTGGGGAATGTAGGGGTTTGATGAAATGGGAGGGGAGGGGAGGAGGGCAAAGGGAAGAGTTCGCAGAGGTGAGGGCTTCTGATCTTGTAGTGAGTAACGCCTTTTACAAGACATTTTATCTGTGGAGTAACTGAAAATGACTCTGTTTTTCCCCGGCGCGATTTCAGTTGTGTCTAAAATGGTCTGGATTCTGGATATACAGCAAACAAACAAACAAACACACATACAGACACACATACATACTGGCTGTGTCGGCAGAGAATACTAGATTTACTCTAAGAACATTCTGGTAATGCTCAGCGATATGACACACGAATAAGGTTGCTACATTTTGAATCAAACAAAGAAATCGAAAGACCTGTTGTAAACCCTCCAGCCCAAGCTGAAACAGCTCAATGTTGTTTATCGTAGTCTCTTTACTTTTGTTTAGAAGGCATGTCTTCTTTATTTTTAAAATTATTTATTGTTGTTATAAAAGTAACAATGAGCTGAAAAGATCAAGAAAATGAGGGCAAATTTGTAAAACTGGAAATTGAAAAAGGAGAGTAGTATGTCAAAAAAGAGTTGAAGCACTTGTATGCTCAGTATTTAGGGTTATATTTCGAAGAGGGCAAAGGGGGAACAATGTTTATTTTCATAGGCGCATTTTTAATTTGTCCACATTGCTACAGTTCTCTTCATCACAGAACTCGTCTTTTCCCTCTCAGTTTTCACGGGCTTGGGACCGTCACAGAGTACACAGTACACTGAGGCCTGATTAAAAAGACGGCGCTACCGAGCGCTCACGTCTGGGGGAGTTAGTGTTAGTTAATTAGTTGTTAGGGTTGGTTAGTTAGTGGTTAGTGTTGGTAAGTTAGTAATTAAAATGGTTGTTAAAATGGTTAATGGTGGGTAGTTAGAGGTTGATTTTGGTTTATCAGCGGTTAATATGTGTTCTTTAATTGTTGGCATTGATAAGTTAGTAGTGGGCGCAGTTTGTCAGTGGTTGATGGAGACAGCTAATGTTTTACAACTTGAGTTTGTTAAATGAGGTGTAATGATGGTTAGCTAGTGTTTTAGAATTGGCCAGCTGGTATTTCATAGTTAGCGTTATTCAGTTATGGTTTTATAGTTATTGCTGATTAGTTAATATTGTTAAGTTAAAGTTAGTATTCATTACTTAAGCTCTTTTCTGAATAACTTTTTAGTCTGTTTTTCCTTAAATTTAAATCTAGTAATATTTAATTTACAACTTGAGTTTGTTAGATAAGGTGTAATGATGCTTAGCTAGTGTTTTAGCATTGGCTAGCTGGTCTTTCTTAGCGTTATCCAGTTAGTGTTGTATAATTATTCTTGATCAGTTAATATGTTACAGTTAGTTTTGATTACTCAGTGTTCTTTTCCTATCAGTTTTTGAAGTGTATTTAATTTAGTGTTTTTTAGTTTGTGGAGTACATTTACTTAATATTGGTTACTTTATACCTAGTGTCAATTAAAAAGGGTTTTTAAAAATTCGTTAGTGTTCGGGTTAATCTTTAAAAAAAATATGTTATTGCTTTTAATGGTACCAAAACTGTAATTAAAATTAAGTCAGCGAGATTTAAAAGAGCTCGGTGTTGGGTTGTGCTATTACTGTTAGTAGGAAAGAAAAATTAGTATCAAATTAGTTAATAGAAAGAAAAAAGGTTGCGACTACCAAAGGTCCGTGTTTCTCACAAACCCTCCATAATTCCCCTGAGCTTCTCACGAGTAGACAAGAACTCCAAGAGGCCGGGAACAGACAGTCGCTTCTGAGGATCTCCGCGCAAAAGTCCTTTCAGAACTTCTCTGTGGAGGAAAACAAATACAGATTGAGGTTAGAAAAGTTTTAACAAATTAAATATTAGTAAAAAGAAATGATAACATGCGTTTAAAATGCTTCAAAGATGACACATAACATGATATATAACTGGATACCAAGCGATGCAAGATGGTATTAGTAATGTATAATAATTGAAACATAAAAGTCTTCAGTTATATGAAAAAAATGCTGTCAAAGATATAAAAATGTTTTAGTTTATTTAAGCCCCGTATCCACACAGAACTTCATCAACGTTTCAATACAATTTATACTTTCACATCAAAGCATACAACGAAAACGTCTATGGTGGAAACCATTCTACTGCGTTCTGATATATAATACAATTCAGTAAACCATGACAGTATTATAGCTGTCTTACCTGAACATTTCGGGCAGAGAAAAATTCCTCACAACGTCCAGTAGATCCAGGTCTGCTGGTTTGAGTCTGAAAACCAAAGACCACAGCGTGGCTCCCAGTGCGTATGCGTCCATCTGAAAAAAAAGAAAACAAATGACCGGAACATTAGACATCGGAATCACGTTACATTAATATCAAACATCATAAAAATTGAAGCAATTGATAACGATATCATGCTACAAATAATATAGATAGATTGTGTAATAAAAGTGATGACACCCTAATACCGATGAATTAGACAAAAGGGTGAAAGCGTAGACATAAAAGTAATAATATTTCTTTGGCAGAATAAACACAAACAGCAGATACCTTTCTGTGTGCTAAAAACGCACGTCTAACCTGTGTAATGACCACAACAAATCAAGGCTGAAACGTAAAAAATAAAGAAGAAAAACTTACCAGAAAAGGGTCGAATTTGTAACCAAGGAAAAACTCAGGTCCATGGTATCCCAGAGTTCCTCTCCAGCGACTCACGGTGTTTTCTCCATCAGGTAAGATCTGAGAACAACCAAAGTCTCCGAGGATGGCGTTGCCGGAGGCGTCTAGGAAGATGTTGTCTGGCTTCACGTCCCCGTGTACACAGCGCTGGTCGTGGAGATATCTCAGGGCACAGGCGGTTTGTACGAAAACCCGTTCCACTTGGTCCCATTGGAGCGACTGACGCAATCCATCCAAAGATCCCTGAGAACACAGGGGCATATAGATAGCCAGGAAGCTGTCACACGTGACCACCCAGTCCATCTTCATGAGGTGCGGGTGCTGAACGTTGTGCATGATGGTCAACTCCTCGGTGCTGTCCTCGAGACCTCGATGTCGTCCTTTACTGTCCAGGTAAGGGATCTTCTTGATTGCCTTACGAATGGAGTCGTCGTTCTTCATGGAAGCTTCCAAAACTAGCGAATTCTTCTTCTTGGCAAGGACACGCACAAACTTCAAGTTGAAATTGTTCAGAAAGTCTCCATCACGAATGACGGTGACATCGGGAAACGTGAGAGTAGCCATGCTAGATATCTGCCGAGTTGTCGAGAAATTCTGTAGAGGAAAATACAAGACGTATCCAACCTGTCACTGCGAGAGCGATATGCTGAACTGAAGGAATGTCCAGACCCCTTCACTTTTATAGTGGAGTCAAGCGTCCCCCTAAAGAGGGGTATTTGTCTTCAAAATCACCGACACCGATTGTCGGTCCTTGCTTTGACATAGCTTCCATTGTTCACATCACAGACGCCGGCTGCATTGACCATCGGACATCAAAGGGCGGTCACCCAACAATGACCATCAGACATCAAAGGGCGGTCACCCAACAATGACCATCAGACATCAAAGGGCGGTCACCCAACAAGGACCATCAGAATTCAAAGGGCGGTAACTCTACAATGACCTTCAGACATGAAAGGGCGGTCACCCAACATGGAACATCAAACATCAAAGAGGGTCACCCAAAACCGACCCGTAGACATCAAAGGGTAGTTACTCAAGAATGACCATCAGACATCAAAGGGCGGTGATCCAACAATGACCGTCTGACATCAAAGGGCGGCTTCCCCAAAGAAGGCCGACACACACTGACCAGCCACTCTCACAAGCTCACAGATGATGTACAAAGTGCAACAGAGTTAAAGATAACTCTTGTCACGTTTTCCTGCAAACGATATGTCGAAAAAAAAGAAGAATTATTTTGACAAATTTGAAAAAGTATGAACAAGCAACCTTTTTTCCCTCAAAGTAAAATGCTCTCAGTCAAGTCTTTCCTTCTTTGATTTGTTTTCTATTTGTTTTGTTTTTCTTTGTTTTCAATCGGTTCTCATAGAAAAGGCCGAAATTCTTGTAAGTTGTCTCACTAACATGGCAATCTCCAATGTCCAGATCGGATTCGGGAACAACTTTACTTTACTTTACTCATAAAAATAGTTATATGTAAACACGGTAAGTAAATTTTAATAAGTTAGACAGCTCTTTGACGGGTGAATTAGTTGAGAATAGTATGAACCTCCATATTTAATTTTTTACTAGTGTATATTCAGTGGGGGGGGGGGTTGTTTTGCTGTTTTTGTTTTGTTTGTTTTTGGTTTGTTTTTGTCATTTTTTCTGTTTTCTTTCATTTTAAAACAAAATATTTATTTGGGGGTGGGAGAAGGGGGATGTTGTCATAAACATCAATAATGATTGTCGGCTCTTGCTTTGACACGGCATCAATTGTCTACATCACAGACTCCGCCGCTATGACCAGTAGGCATCAAAGGGAGGTTATCCAACATTGACCCCCCCCCCAGACAACAAAGGCAGTCACCTAGTAGAGACCACCAGTCATCAAAGGACAGTCACCCGGTAGAGATCAGCAGATATTAAAAGGCAGTCACTCAACAATGACCATCAGAAACTAAGGGCGGTTATCCGTCTGTGACCACCTGTCAGTAAACGGTGGTCACCCAACTGTGACCAGTAGACATCAAAGTGGAGTCACACAATAACAACTACCAGACACCAAAGGGCGGTCACCCAGCCAGCCTCGACTAGCACATGTCAAAGAGCGGCTTCCCCAAAGAAGACCGACACACAGTGACCAGCCTTTCTCACCTGCTTCTTCGCCGGAATGGATGCTGAAGCAAGTACGTGAACCAAAGTAGTATAGTATTTAGTAGTAAACGAGGCCTCATGACAATGATTTAAATAAATGTACCCTTAATAGAAACAGACATACTGATGTTTGTAAAATGACGTTAGTAAACTTGAATGAAGGCTAAATATTGGATAACGTAATAAATACTATCAAAAGATAACGTGTTAAATTTTATTATGTAAATAAAACAGAAAATTAATGTTTGTGACCGTTGGCACGTTTTGACACGGCTTTAATTGCCTACACCAGAGACATCACCACAGTGACCACTAGACATCAAAGGACGGTCACTCAACATTGGCAAATGACCAGTAGACATCAAAGGGCGGTCACCTAACAATGACGAGCAGAGATCAAAGGGCGGTTTCCCAAAAGAATGCGGACACACACTGACCAGCCACTCTCACAAGCTCACAGTTAAAGAAAGCTCATGTCAATTTTATTTTCCTTCTAACAATATTTATACCACAAATAAATTATTTTGACAAATTTGAAAAAGCTTAATGGAGCAACATGTGAGCGGGGCCCACTGTACTTTCTTTGTCCCAAAGGCTTGTACCTGCTTTCATTTTGTGTGTTCTTTTAATCGGTGCTTTTAGAAAACAATAATGTTTAGATGATATTATTGGGCTGACAATATTATGTCGTGGTTTTATTACTTGTTTCCACCGTATTATCTAAGAGTGTTTGTTTTTTTGTCTTCAATAACATCAACAAAGATTCACCCCCCCCCCCCCACATTGCTTTTACGTGGCTTCCATTGTCTACATCAAAGACGACGCTGCAATGGCCAGAAGTCATCAAAGGGCGGTCACCCAATAGTGACCAGTAGACATCAAAGGCTTGTTCTCCAAAAGAAGACCGACACACAGTGACCAGCCTTTCTCACTTGCTTCTTCGCGGGAATAGATGCTGAAGGAAGATCGGGAACAGAATTGTACTATTTTTTTGTTGTAAATAAAGCCTTGTGACAACGTGGTTAGTTAGAGAAACCTAACCACCACATAGCCCCCCCCCCCCCCCCCCAAACTCCCAATACCTCATAATAGGAATTAAAAAAATTAAAGTAAAAATATATTTATTAATGCTTCACTTTTCAAAACACATTTCATATACATTGTACTGCCCCGTCTTTTTATGAAAGAAAAAATGTGTAATTATGCAAACTGAACCCAAAAATGTGAAATTATGCGATTCTGTTAATTTATACAAAGAGCAAAAAAGGGGGAAAAATTAGAAATTACGCAAAAAAATGATCAAATTTGGCTAAATTATGCGAAGTGCATAAAACCACGGGGACAGATTGTAAAAGTAACTACATCCTGTACTTCGTTGGCAGAAATAACCCATGTGCCTTTAATGACATTTTTTTGACACAGTAAGTTAAATCACGAGTGGCTACAAACGTGGAATAGGACGGCCCTCATATCTTAAGCCACGCCTTTTATTCACCCATTGTAAGATCCCAAGACGAGCGACTGAACTGAGAGTGTTATGATTGGCCATTGTTTGGGTTCTCTGGCCTTCGACAAAGAAATGTTAACTGTGTTCATCTTTCTTTGATAATCCTTGTTTTCTTCTCACTCTCAGATCAATGGGGAGACTGACCACGTTGGGTTTGTTTTGTTTAAAAAAAAATAATTCAAATATTAAAAACAGGTGAGGGATGGGAGGGGTTGGAGTAATGAAGAACAGAGAACGGATTGGAAGGGGGGAGAGGGTGGAGGGGTGCGGGGTGGGGAAATGAGAGGTGTCGAGGGGAGACAGGCGACTGAACTGAGAGTGTTGGGATTGGTCATTGTTCGGTTTTCCTGACGGACTACTGGGGAATTTCTTCCTTGTTTTCTTCTCTTTCTCAGGTCACGGGGTATGGGGAGACTGATCACGTTTGTTTATGTTTGTGTGTTCGTTTTTGTTGCTCTTGGTTGTTGGTTCTTTTGGTGGGTTTTTTAAAGGTTTTTTTAAAAGTCTCAGTAAACAAAACGTATTCGAAGAGAATGGAATGTAGAAGCATATAGAAGAAGTGTGGGTGGAGGGGAATGGGTGGAAAGGTGCCCTTTGGGGAATGTAGGGGTTTGATGAAATGGGAGGGGAGGGGAGGAGGGCAAAGGGAAGAGTTCGCAGAGGTGAGGGCTTCTGATCTTGTAGTGAGTAACGCCTTTTACAAGACATTTTATCTGTGGAGTTACTGAAAATGACTCTGTTTTTCCCCGGCGCGATTTCAGTTGTGTCCAAAATGGTCTGGATTCTGGATATACAGCAAACAAACAAACAAACACACATACAGACACACATACATACTGGCTGTGTCGGCAGAGAATACTAGATTTACTCTAAGAACATTCTGGTAATGCTCAGCGATATGACACACGAATAAGGTTGCTACATTTTGAATCAAACAAAGAAATCGAAAGACCTGTTGTAAACCCTCCAGCCCAAGCTGAAACAGCTCAATGTTGTTTATCGTAGTCTCTTTACTTTTGTTTAGAAGGCATGTCTTCTTTATTTTTAAAATTATTTATTGTTGTTATAAAAGTAACAATGAGCTGAAAAGATCAAGAAAATGAGGGCAAATTTGTAAAACTGGAAATTGAAAAAGGAGAGTAGTATGTCAAAAAAGAGTTGAAGCACTTGTATGCTCAGTATTTAGGGTTATATTTCGCAGAGGGCAAAGGGGGAACAATGTTTATTTCATAGGCGCATTTTTAATTTGTCCACATTGCTACAGTTCTCTTCATCACAGAACTCGTCTTTTCCCTCTCAGTTTTCACGGGCTTGGGACCGTCACAGAGTACACAGTACACTGAGGCCTGATTAAAAAGACGGCGCTACCGAGCGCTCACGTCTGGGGGAGTTAGTGTTAGTTAATTAGTTGTTAGGGTTGGTTAGTTAGTGGTTAGTGTTGGTAAGTTAGTAATTAAAATGGTTGTTAAAATGGTTAATGGTGGGTAGTTAGAGGTTGATTTTGGTTTATCAGCGGTTAATATGTGTTCTTTAATTGTTGGCATTGATAAGTTAGTAGTGGGCGCAGTTTGTCAGTGGTTGATGGAGACAGCTAATGTTTTACAACTTGAGTTTGTTAAATGAGGTGTAATGATGGTTAGCTAGTGTTTTAGAATTGGCCAGCTGGTATTTCATAGTTAGCGTTATTCAGTTATGGTTTTATAGTTATTGCTGATTAGTTAATATTGTTAAGTTAAAGTTAGTATTCATTACTTAAGCTCTTTTCTGAATAACTTTTTAGTCTGTTTTTCCTTAAATTTAAATCTAGTAATATTTAATTTACAACTTGAGTTTGTTAGATAAGGTGTAATGATGCTTAGCTAGTGTTTTAGCATTGGCTAGCTGGTCTTTCTTAGCGTTATCCAGTTAGTGTTGTATA